AAGAGTGGAAATGTCAAACGGCATTATGAAACAAAACACGGTCATTTTGAACGGCAATATCCACAAAATACAGAGGTACGGACAGCAAAACTTCAACAGCTAAAGTCTTCATATGAATCAACAAATAAGTTGCTTGTGAGAGCTTAAATTGACTCTTCATGCATGAAATTAATTATTTTGCCACTTTTGCACTTGTTATTCATGTAGGCTATTTTGAATGCAAAATGCACCTTATTTTTTCATAAAATGAATGTTGATTTGTTAAACATGTTTATTAAAAATAAGTTTTGTAATTACCAATAGTTCCGGACCTTTGTCATTGATGAAAATTCAGATTTGGACCTTTGAATGTAGACTTTGAGAACCCCTGGTGTAGTGCAATCTATGCCGTGGCGCACAGGCACTGGTATACTCTCCACCCCTACTTTCCTATACTTTATATATTTCTTTGACTGCCTAATACTTCCGCACAGTACTGAATCTAACGTCAAGATATAAGCGCTAGATTTGAAAAATAAAACTGCTACAATTGCTGAAACCATAAAATGGGCTACTTACAATGTTGTGTATCAGAGTCTCAACAAACATTCAAAACAATAAAATCCAAGCTCGAGTGTTTTTTGAACCGTATTGAAGTACGAAGAAATTACTTACACATCAAAATTCCATTCGCAAAAACAAAAATCAGTTCAATAAGTTCCATTCTGGTGTTCCAGAGAAGATCCGATCCGCTTATCATGCGCGCCAGACCGCTCATAGCACAAGACAAGATAAGCTACTGTACTTGCAAGACTACAGAAAACATGCCCACAACACGCCCGCTACTGCGCGCATGTAGCCTAATCGCATGCATGACGTATGCTGCACTTCACTCGTGCCGCATTGACCTCTGCAGGAACGAATAGGAACCAGTGCCAGACATGATCGTGTTGTGTAGTGAGTGTGATCATCTTTTGTAGTACTTTGTACACTTTATAACACTTTATTGATCCCCGTGGGACATTCTCTGCGCGTGCCCTATCTTTGCCTCCGTGATACACGGACATACTGTGGGACCAAGCTTGGCAGCCCATGGAACTGGTAGTTAAGGGACTTGCTGAAAGGTTCACAAACGTGAGCTCACAGAAACGGGAAGTGTTGTTGTGCACCCCCTTTGTCTCCTTTGATTCTATCACGAAATGCTGTTAGCAACCAACACATTTAACGAAATACATAATAATTACTGAATTTCATAAATGCCATATCAAGTGCAGCGCGCGGGGGGTGCATTTTACGGCA